TATAAATAAAAATTAATATTTGGAAAAAGGCAAATGGAAAATAAGAACAGGTATTTTGCATTTTGTATTTATATTTTAAATGGAACTGTTTCAAATAAATCGTAATCGTGTTTCCGCCCTATTTTGCAAAATAATTTACCTGCATAATTTTGTATTCCAAGGATACTGTATATCCCAATTTTAAATGGGCGGCAATGGTCATATTTTCAATTACTGTTAAACCTAATCTTAGTTCTTCTTCTTGTGGAATGTAAGCCGATAATTTTCTAAATCGATGACTATGATCTCTAGGAATGTCATTTATATAAACGTTACCAGAACTGCCTTTTGTTCTGAAAAATCGTAACAACACAGTCTGTAAATTATGATAATTTTTTACTAATTATTAACTATTTTCTTACGTAAATCCAGCCAGGATATTAAGAAGGGTCGTTTTTCCTGATCCTGATGGTCCCATAATTACTGAAAGTTCACCAGATTTGAATTCACCGGATATGCCATGAAGAATTTTTTTTTGATCTGGAAATAAAAAAAAGGATTAGCAATTCAAAATCTGAAACCCTCTCGTTTTAATTGCAATCATTAAAAAAAGTTACGATTATGACGCTATAAATTGATCAAAATAAAATTTTACTATGAATCGGTTAATTAACCTTAAGAAATAAAAATACCTTTTAACGTTTTCAAAGTAAATAAAAAACGAAAAAATGACGTTAATGAGACAAAATATGAAAAACAACAATTTTTTTATTTATTGCAAACTAGAAAAAACTTCACAAAATATTTAGAAACCTTAACACGTGTTTTGACCTTTCGGTGATTGTGCCAGAGATTTCTAATAAATATTTTGTGAAGTCATTTCCAGTTTATATTCAATAAATAATTATTAAAATGTTTCATAACGAACCTATCCCAAAATCTATTTATTTCTGTGTAAATTATAAATTTATTCAAATAATTTTGTACTTTTCATTAGAAAAATTAATATAAGTTGTAGGTTTTCTAGGAGAATACTTGGAGAAAAATAAGATGAATAAATAATGTCTATTTCTGGCGAACGGTTAATTTAGAAATTCCAGAAAGATTGTTAAAGTTGTATGTTTGGAGTACAGTCCTGTACGGGTGCGAAACATGGACAATGGACGCGGCGGAAAAGAAAAGGTTAGAGTCGTTCAAAATGTGGTGTTACAGGCGAATGATGAGGATACCGTAGATAGAGAAGGTTAGAAATGAAGAGATATTAGAAAGAATAGGAGAACAGAGGACTCTATGGAAGTCAATAAAAAATAGGCGAGATAGGTTAGTAGGACACCTTCTCAGGCATGAAGGTCTAGTCAGAGATATATTAGAGACAGAAACGGAAGTTAGGAGGGGTAGAGGTACACTTAGATTAGATTACTATTCGCAAATAGTTAAGGATATGGGTTGTTCTAGTTTTAGGGAAATGCGAAGATTAGCTCAGGGTAGGAAAGAGTGGAGGTGCGTGTCCAATCAGTCTTAGGACTGACGACCTTATGATGATGATGATGATTGTGAAGTCATTTCACGTTAGTATTACATAAATAATTATTAAAATGTTTGATAATGAACCTAAAATTTATTGGAATTATTAAGAAATTGACTTTTGAGTAAAATAAAAATAAATGTGTCTATATAATTTCGTACTTTTCATTAGAAAAATTAATGCATTAAGACAATATTGGAGAAAAATAAGGTCAATAAATGTTGTCTATCCGGTTACTTTAATCTTGAACTTAGTTTTGTAAAGCGTCCATTTCATTACTGTTTTTAAAAGTACACAGATAAAAAATTGAAAATCAGCAGTCAAAATAACAATTAGCGTTTCACTTATCGCACTAAGCTATTGGCATGAGTCAATTTGCAAAACAAATACGTATTATCATAGGAAAGAAACTTATTGAACTTAAACATCAAACATTTGCTTATACAATTAGTGAAGAATTTTCTCCAGAAAAAACGTTAATTTCTTTAATTTTCATCGTCATTATTAACTCAGTCAATAAAGTTAATGGTTTCATGTTCTTATTGATATTTTTTTCTCAGTGGCGTGTAGGTTCCGAATTTGAGGCCTTTTGGGGAATTATTAAATTAAATATGCATGCTAAATACAAATACATGTCGAGATCAAAATGAACTTCGAACTACGAAAAAATGTGTAAAAAAGTCAAAACTACATTTTTAATTATCAGGTGGTAATGGTTTAAATATTGACAATTCGTTCTGAAATTTAAAACCTATTTTAATTCTCTTGTTAAAAGGATTAAGTCCATCATTAGCGATTTTGGTTCATTTAGAAAAAGAATTTCCCTCCAATTGTTATACTTTATAAACTGATTGTACATTTTTTGACTGGAGGTACGTGTCCAACTAGTCTTAGGACTGACGACCCTATGATGATGAAAATGCAGAACATTGAAATATTTTTATCAGCAATTGAGAATGTAGAGACATGGGCCAGATTAAGATGTACCAATGCGGGGGGAATGTGGCCCATTTGCCTGCTTGTTATGGTGCTAATTGGTGGAAAATGATTATATTATTAAAAATTATTAAGAATATATGAGTGGAGAATGGCAGGCAGATTTAATAACAGAAAAATTAAAACGCGAAATTTGTGAGAAAATCTATGAATACATTAAAGTCGTGGATGCAACAATGATAGAAAAAAGAGTTTGAAGTAGAGTATAAAAATATTTAAAAGATAAATATTATGGGCGATGTACATAAAGTTGATAAGTATTTAAACATTTAGGTTAGTTTCGACGGACATTATTGTACAAGACTTATTTTCTTCCTACAATAGTGATAAGCAAAATTGGCGTTGGTGTTGGACCAAGACGAAAACCAAGACCGACTACGAAAGACTAAACGAAAAATTATTACTTCCTGTGCATAAATCCACAAAGTCAAACTATTTGAAGCAACTTAAATATTTTCTTTTCTTGGAACAAAAAATTTTTAGTCACTCTTAAATCTTCAACTTATCCTTGGTTATGTATCGATGAATATTTTACACCCTATGCTGTTTAACATTTTCTTTTTCATCTCTTTTATAAACTAGTACTATTCCTCCACTTCCTTGGTATTTCGTCATTATTCCATGTTACACTGAAAATCTCACCCATTTTTTCAGATAATGTACCCTTTGTAAAAACCTTAATGACATTCATAGAAATAATGTAATATTTTTATTGAAAATTTTCAAATTGAAGTAATTATATTTATTATTCCATATTATATATCGAGTTTTTCACTAAAAGGCCAAATAGTCCTTATTGATTCTTTTTTTTTCAGTGATTTTCTTGTTTTATAGCATAAACATGTTATTGTATAACATAAAAATTTTGATAGTCCATATTCAAGGTTAAATCTTTATGTGGTTCCTGTTTTTTTTTTAAGCTAAGGATTACTTTTACAACAATTTTATAGTTTTTGTTTCAGATTAATTGACTTACGTTTCTTTTTTTTTATGATAATAAGCATGAAACTCTTCTACGTGTCCATTTACACGTTTTATGGGGTTCAGCACTATGTGAACGTGCTTTGTTTTATTTTGTCATTATCATATTTTTATATGACTGTCGTGACTCCGAATTACGTTTATCTATCCTGTTGAAAATTGCAACTCATAAGGATAAAGATAATTCAAAGAAATCTCCGTGGAACTGAAAGATTTCATAATGTGATTAAACACGTTGTGCGTCATGTAAGCCGCACGCCTGATGTTTTAATGTTTTATTCGTGCAGAAAAAATAAATGGACGAAGAATATGCTCTGCTATAACACCAAAAAGATATAAAATTAAATGTATTTCTGTACATTAAATATGTTACTTATTAAAATAAGAAGAAGTGGACCTTGTTGGGGCATACGTAATCCTAAAATGTAGCATCGTATTACAGATGGCGTTTACCGCGCCATTTGTGGTATTTTCTATGTTGCTTATTATTAAAATGGGCATAAAACAGAAATCATTTTTGCTTATTTTAACACAACACATTTTAATACCAAATTTTAATACTTTACTAGGATTAGCATGGTGTATTAGTCATACTGTTCTAACATTGTTGAATTTGGTGATATAAAATTCTACTACAAGTAATTTTGCAGGAAGTTATATTAATATTACAGGCTTTCGTGATCAAAAATTAGAAAAATTATAGTTAGATTCGTATTGGATACTCTACTGAATAATAATAGAAAAAGCTTAAATAATAAGATTATAGAAAAATATCTCAAAGAATCATTATTCTAAAATATGAATGTCAATATTTTAAAATAACATTAAAAGTTCTAAAATTAATAATTTATTTTTGAGTGTGACTGTAATAATCTACACAGTAGAATGTACGATTTTAAAACGTTAAAGAAAGAAGAAGTTCAAATAAATTACGTAGAAAAGAGAAGATAAAAATGTTAGAATTAATAAAAAGTCAAGTTTTTATTGACATTGAACCGTTGATATATAAATGGGCTGATAAGATGCGGAAAGGCATGCCATCAATTATTTGAATGATTGTAATAAAATAATTCTAGGTCGCTTTATCTAGAAAATATAGGTCTAGGTTGGATTTACATAGATTAAAATACTTTACAAACACAATACTCAAATCGTGAACTTTTGCAATAGAAATTTCTGGAGCATTCATGAAAAATCAAACCAATTTTAGCCCCTTACCTCACTTCCCTTAAAGCTGACATTGAATTAAAGAAGAAAGGTTTAAGACAAATTCAGGCGCATAGAAGTTTTGTCAATATTACGTCACAGTAATGCAAATTAAATAACAGTTTAACGTTTTGTTTTCACAAGAAATTCTCTATATGTACTACGATTAATAACTTTATTGAAAGACAAAATATTGACAAACTCTTAATTGTAGAATTTGCACCTATACGGCTTGTTTCTTACACACATGAGTTATTTAACAAAATAATTTAATTGACTGCATACTTGTTTAAAATTTCCTTGTTTGTTTAAACATGTGTGAATTATTATTCATTTTACATTAACTTGTTCTTTGCTGACGTAGTCTGAAGAACAAGACAATTAACTGAAGAAGTGTAATATTATTTATGCATAATTTAGAATAATACGATCGTCATTCAAATGATGCTGACGTCGTTATTAATCGGATGTTACATTTTTTTTTATTACTCTATTAACTGACAGAAGTCGTATGTGCAATGCTACTAAAACCAATTCAAATATAGAGTGTCTACGTCTACAACAATCTTTCAGTGGCGGATGCAGCTAGGAAATGAGATAAATTTACCCCAAAGAGGTTTATGTCTTATGCCACATTTTTTATATTACACTATTAACTGACAAATGTCTCTGTGCAATGCTAATAAAACCAATTCAAATATAGAGTGTCTACGTCTACAAAAATCTTTCAGTGGCAGATGCAGATAGGTAATGAGAGGAATTTACCCCAAAGAGGTTTATGTCTTATGTCACATTTTTTATATTACATTATTAACTGACAAAAGTCTCTGTG